GGCGAGGTGGCGGCCAGGGGTTAGGACAGCGGTTTGATGTGCTTGCCTGCGCCTCCGAGGCGGCACTGTTATCATCTGCAGCGCAGCAGCTCCCATCCTGAGGGGGGCCTGCTAGGTGGTGCCCGCGGCCTGTTGGGTGGTGCCGAGCTTGAAGGGGGAGGTACCGAAGAAATGAGGGTGTTCTGAAATGGCAGGGGTCTCCGTCATAAACGGCTCAGGCCTGCAGAAGCCAAGGAGGGATGTAGGCGAGCGTGTCTGTCTTTATTTGCAGGTTCCTGGAAGCACTTTGGCTAGAAGAGGTGTATTCAGGGCTCTGTGGGGAGCTCCTGCCTCCGGTAGGAATTGCTGATAGAGGTAGGGGAAGTACTCAAAAGCTAGACTGAAAAAAACCCAGCTTTGCAGTTGGGATTGTGATTGTGTGGGGGAAAAAAAAATAGGCATTAAAAAGCAAAATAGTTAAGCGTTGGCAGGAATGACTGTTTTGACTGAAATACCAAAGCAGAAAGAGCCCTGGTTACATGGAAGTTTCATTCTCTTTGCTGAACTGTAAAGCAGTGTATTCTTTTCCAGCTTCAAAGGTATAAACGATTGATTACTGATTGTGAAAGTCTTTCTAGACTGCCAGATACATTATGAGTATTGATAGAGACAGCGTATGAATTATCTGAAGTAATATGGCGCTGGAATGGGCTGCCCAGGGAGGTGGTCGAGTCCCCATCCCTGGCGGTATTTAAAAGAAGGGTAGATGAAGCGCTTGGGGACATGGTTTAGTGGTGGGATGGCAGTTGGACTTGATGATCTTAAAGGTCTTTTCCAACCTAGACAATTCTATGATTCTAAATAACAAAACCAGAATATTGTATAACTTGTTATTTTCAGGGGTTTGTTGTTTTGGGGTTTTTTTAAGGTTAGGCCAAAGAAAGTAAATTAGTTATTGGGGGGGGAAAAAAAAAGTAGGGACATAGCAAACTAAATATCCAGGAAGGAAACTCATTTAATGTTGTCCTTGTAGGCAGCAATCCAAACAGGATTGTTGAAGCAATTAACAGTTTGCTGGATCAGGGTCCTACTAAATGCATTAAATGCATGTGGATAACTACATAATGCGTTCTTTCTTCTTTGGCTTTACAAACACTCTACAAAACTTTTACAGTAGAAACAGCCATTACAGGGTAGAATTCCTGTTTAGCTGATGTATAAGCTCTGGTCTTGCTCTGCTTTATCTCATTGCTGTGCAACTTCATTTTGTTAGAACCCATAACTCTGCACTGAATGTAGAATATTGACTGTTGCAGGCAAGAGTTTAATGAGGAAAAGGTACTGGAAGAATAAAGATTGTTCTGGAACATCTTTTCTTGCCGTGTGTGAAAGTCTGTGTCAAGTGCAAATGGTCCATGACCCCTGTGGTTAAGCGGTAAATCATACCCAGCTCATTTTGACTTCCAGCCATGCTTGGGTAGCTGCAGGACTGACCTTCAGGAGAGTCCTAAATGAAGCTTGAATGCCTGCCCTTGGCAGATAGGATATTGTAATATCTCTTCACCTGTACTTTCTTACTGTCAGAAATGCTAGTTAATCGACTTCTTTAAAACAACAAAACCATTAATTTTATCATGGTAGCCTCACCTTCCATTCTGTTGTTAGTTATCCAGTTTAATTATCCAGTTTACTAACCCAGTGGGTTCCGTTGCCTTGTGGTACCAGATGTAAATTTACAAGAAACTGCGGTGCAAGCCAAGATCACTAGA